ATTTATATGCAACTGACAGTATTTTGTTTAATGTTTCTACTTTTTAATGTTAAATGGCATTCCAAAAATTATCTATTCTTATTAAGATATGAATACTTACATGCATTTCCCAGAAATCTGTTTAAAAATATTCTTAATATTTTTGCTTGGAATTGCAGGTGTAGCAATAATAACTAATACTTCTATCTCTATAACTAATACTTCTATCTCTATAAATTTCTTAGGGTCATTTCTCATTTCAAATGTCAGTTTTTTTGCATAAGATTTTATGACTTTCCTCGATCCAAAAGCATTAACATTTCCTCATGGAATGTTCTTTTAACACCAAGGGCATTTGTTAAGGATTTTACAATCCAAGATTTCTCGTTTCTACTAACTATTAGTATTGAGTATAGTTCATATTTTCATTGATCAATTCATAATTGTACGAATCTGCAGTAAAATGCTATTCCTTGACTCAAAGTCAGATAGATTGCTTTGGTTAAGTGCATTCGAATTCACCTTTCCCATTTCATTTTCTGGTGATTTATCGTTAGTTTTACATTGCAAATGGTGGTAAACCATACTCTTGCAGATTCTATGAGGACTGAGTTTAATTTTACAAAAATGCATCAAACAGAAACATGACAAACACTAAAATTATCTTTTTTTTTTTTTTTTTAATTTTCCCTTTCTATGATACATTTGAACATACAAAACTTACGGTTCTTACTTTTACAAAATGCATAATTCTTTTTAACATTTAAAGCATAACTCATAGTTGATATATTCTATTTAGTATTAAAATTTCTAGTGTTAAATTTTATGAAATAAATTTTTGATTTGCTACTAAAATTAGTCATTTAAATCTACTACTAAATGAATAGTTTGTTTTCATAGACTGTTTTCCTTTGTTTTAAAAAGTGAATACATTTCTAAAATTCCAGTTATTATTCAGATATGTTTTACTGAATTCTGGTGCAATTCTTTTTTTAGAATCCTTTCCAGTAAAATAGGATTCTATAAATTAATGGAAGGTTTTTATCAGTCCTAATCAGCTTTTAGAATAAGTATTGTCTTTATGAAACAGTTTTATCAATTCATTTAAATTGACTGTACTTCTGATAACAGGTATTTTACCTGTTATCAGGTATTTTACCTGTTATCAGAAGTACAGTCAATTTAAATGAATTGATAAAACTGTTTCATAAAGACAATACTGTTATCAGAAGTTTATTTTACTTGCTGCACTTGTCTTGTTAAAATCTTAAGTAATATTGGGTTTTAACAAATGTTTCTTGCCATCGGAAATATCGTCTATGCAAATCATTCACCTTGGCATATTTAATCACATTATGTCACACAATTTTTGGCATTTGAAAGAAAGAGACTTGCTTTAGAACACTGTGTTATGAAATTTGTAAAAAAAAAAAAATGTTATCATTAAGTATAAGGTGTCTGAAATGGAACTATCATGCTACCAGATTAGAACCGTCATTTACTTCCAGTTATGTTACAAAAAGTCAGCTGCAGAATATCACCAAATCATGTGTATAGCTTTAGTTACTAATATCGTATCATATGACACTGTGAAGGTTTGGTACAGAAAGTTAAAAAAACATTGACATTCAAGAAGCAGAGTGCTGTGGCTTGCCTACTGATGTTGATGAGGCCCGCCTCCAAGAACTTGTGGAAGAACATCACATGAGAGCTTGCTAAGGAGTTAGACATTATTGCCATGTTTATCAGTCGCGCTATGCATCGCATAAGCTTGACGTATAAGTTCAGTTCCTGTGTGCCGCATGAGCTGACTCAAGCAGATAAGGACAGATGTGTTTGGGCCTGCAGTAATCTGCTTGAATATCAATGCAATGACAATATTCTGGACCAGATCATCACTTGTAATGAAAAGTAGATTTACTTCAACAACACAGGCCAAAAAGAGGGTTGGTTTGTGCCCTGTGAGCCTGTCGACAGCGTTGCAAAGCGCAATTTGACTAACAAAAAGATCATGCTTTGTTTCTGGTGGGATTGCCAAAGGATAATCCACAAAGAGTATCTGGAAAAGGTAAAACCCTCATCTGTAAGGTATACAGTGATATGCTTGTCTGTGATGATGCTGCTGTCAAGGAAACACGTCGAACTGGCCCAAAAAGATTATCTTCCATCAAAATAATGTAAATCCACATATGTTTGCATTCATTGGCTAGACTCTGCACAGATTGGAATGGGTTCTTTTGCCACACCCACCATATAGCCCTGGCATCACTCCTTCAGACTACCTACCTTTTTCTGCACCTTCAGCTACATCTTGCTGGTGCTATCTTCCATTCTGCGCTGGACATCCGAAATGAGGTTGATCTGTTTTTGGACTTGTGGCCATCAAGTTTCTGGGCTGAAGGCTTTGAAACAGTACCAAAATGTTGGCAGAAAATCATAGATTCAGGTGGTGATTAATATCTGCGCTAAAGGTATTGTTTTTCATGTATTTTATTAAGAACATTTTTTTCCTCAACTTTGCTTATGTGGACATTTTCAAAATAATTTGCATATTATTATAAAAAATAATGATATGAAAAATAAACATTACTTTCTATCCTTACCAAATCTTGAAAATTAACAACTTTTAGTTTGGAATATATTTATTATTGTCAATAACAGTATTTATCAGTAACATCATATTCCTTACTACTGTACTCCTCAGACTAGTAGCTCATGAATATATGAAGTAATCTCAGCAAAATGACTCTACATCTTACTTGTGTGCATATTTATTGCATATCTTTATACAATTATTTTACATAATACTGTATTTCAACATGTACTTACCAAGGCTATTGAACTCTAGCTGAAAAATCATATTTGTTTTCTTGGTTTAGGGCTATTATATTAATACCTTCTATGAGAGATTTTTCTTCACACTAGATTGTCAGAAGGAGGGATAGATGCTATTTGAAATAGCTTTGTCTCAGTTACTACAGATAAATGGGATTATTGTGCCTTAAAACATTAACGCCCGTCTAACCCACCAGTGGGTCATGCTTGTCTGTTCCGTGTGGCGGCCTGACCTACCAGTGGGTAATACTCGTCTGTTCCACATGCTTGATTGTTCCGTGGGCCAGCATGACTCACCGATGGTCATTCTTGTATATAAAAAAATACTATAATATGCTTGTATATCAAAAAATAAAATTCTTTTATTATAAAATCTATAATTATATAAATAATAATTTAATTTTATAATTTATAATTTTAATTATATAATTTGTCACTTCTCCACCCTAAGAAAAGAAAAATGAATATCCCCACCGCCATCAACGTGTTAAATATTGGGAGGAGAGATACAGAAGAGCTGAGTAGATCGCCTTTCAACATATTTCCCTCCACAGCTGATACATTTTTGCCAATGTTCTGGAAACATTTTCATGTCCTTTTCAAGAAGTTTTTCAATTAGCTGTGTATCCACTCCTGAACATTGACAGTTGACTGTATCATTATCCACTAACTGCATGCAAAGTGGGATTTAAGTCTAGGACTCAGTCTTCAAATATTATACCCACATTCAATTATGGTAACTGTGAATTTCCAAAATCCATCTCTTTAATCTTAAAGCTGCCACAGAAGTGATGGTTTCCATGTGCATCATTTTCTTCTCGTACACCTTGTGATAGTGCAAATGCTTCATCGACCCAAGTTCTCTGATAACCATATTCACACGATGAATATTTATCAGGGTGACAGATGTTCTGAACTCGCTCTCATCCCTCAGTGAAGTACTGAAATGCATTTTAACAAACACTGCTTTCTGTGATCCCAATGCATTGTTCCACGTTCCAAGGCAGCTGCTATTGGACTACTTGCTATTGTAAGACATAACTGAGCAAATTCTGATCTGCATGGGAAGTAAGGTGGGGATAGTGGCTGTACTCAAATGCATGTGATGCAGTGCATGGGCAGTGTAATCTTGGTCATATTTGAATCTACTCTTATAAAATATAAGAATTTTTAAAAAATTGATTTGACTCGTATGTATTAAGCATTTAAGTGGGACATTTAGGCTGGAATGAAGATTACATTTTTAAGATAAAAATTTCATTTTATATATATATATATATAATAATTTATTTCGTAAACAGTATTGATTAATTGATTATATTATCTCCTAAGTTTAATTAAAGTAGAATTATTTTAAAAGTGTGCATCCATACTGGTAAGTTATATTTTGAAAGATGTTTTGAAGTAATTTGAAAGCAAAATGTAATAATGTTTTAACGGGGACTGGAGTTAAATCATCACGAAGAATAATATTTCAATTGTAAAATGAAAAATTAAAACATGTAATCATTGTCATTGATTGGAAATTAGTTGACTTTTCAAGGGGAACAAACCAACTCCCGTTCAATGAACAATAATTGATAAAAATTGACTAGAATTGCCGGTTTGGCTTTAACTTATAACTCGAGTAAAGACGAAACACTTTCGTATTTACGTATTTTTATCAATTATTGTTCATTGAACGGGAGTTGGTTTTTGTTCCCCTTGAAAAGTCAACTAATTTCCGATCAATGACAATGATTACATGTTTTAATTTTTCATTTTACAATTGAAATATTATCTTCGTGATGATTTAACTCCAGTCCCCGTTTAAAACATTATTAACATTTTGCTTTCAAATTACTTCAAAACATTTTTCAAAAATATAACTTACCAGTATGGATGCACACTTTTAAAATAATTCTACTTTAATTAAACTTAGGAGATAATATAATCAATTAATCAATACTGTTTAGGAAATAAATTATTATTAACTAACTTTGCAGCAATTGCGCAAGTAATAATAACTAGTATTCGCACTAAATGGATTTAAGATCATACAACATTATATATATATATATATATATATATATATATATATATATAATTGTCATTCCCCCTTTTTAAAGTATTATTGGGATTAAGAAAAGCTTTTCAAGCTAGTAATATGATAGATTTTCATTTTATCTTTGAATTATTTTATGCAGAATGAAAGGCTGGTGGAGAATAAACCATTTCATTGCTACAATCCAAGCTGGGGTTATAATTGTATGGTAAGTGAAATTTTATTGTGCTTTTTAAAATTGAAGTTTATTTAGCATAAATAGCATTTGCTATTTAGTTTCTTTGTAGTTTGTAATTACTTTTTCTGCTTATTCTGGGTCAAGATGCTAACAAATGAAATGCAGTGTAATTTTAAAATTAGGAGAATTTATTATCTGAATTCATTTTGGTTCTGTTCTTGAGCTCTTGATGTAAATCTAACAATTGAAACTTTAATTGAAAAGTATAAAGAATTAAACTTATTTTAGCTAACTCAGAACTCTTAGAAAAGCAAATTCTTGTTTATTTATTTATTTTTATTTGAATTATGAGCATTATTATTGGTAGGCATAAAATTCATGTGTTTTTGATATATATTTTTTTAATTAATAGGCCAGATGGTTTTATGTATGATCAGTTCCGGAAGCAATTCACTTTATACACTTGCTATACGAGTAAGTTATTTTTTTGAGGCAGATCTTTTCTGTTTTAAACTGTGTGTGAATACATAAACTATACTGTATTACTTTAAGTCACACTCTTTTTTATATTTTTAAGATGTAAAAATTGGGGTGTGGCATAAATTCAGAGTGAATATTTTAACATTTTATTTCTGTAAATGTTCCATTCTGTTGTGATCTTTTAAAATTCCTTATGTGATGTAATCTCTGTAGGCCCTATATTCTGCTGCCCAGTCCAATTTCTATAGTTCTTATATTCTGCTGCCCAGTGCCTATTCTAAATTTTAAAAAAATTGCATCCCTAAATTCTGTTGATCGTTGCTTCACTGACTTCTAAAAATCATTGCATACTGGTTCTAGTGAATTTTTAGGAATAAAAAAAAGAAAATATTAATAGTGAACATGTAAATTGGTAATGACATTCAGGGTATCCAACTATATATATTTGTAACTAATTGTTCATCCTTAATTTATCTCTGCGTTTTGAGGTGAATTATCATCTTTCCTTAATCCTTGCTGTGGACGTCGGATGCAATGCAAAAATATAAAAATTAACATAAATGTTTATTCATTACAGCTAATGATACTTAAAATAATATAAAACAACTTACCACCTCAGGTGTTTCAGCAGCTTATTGGAACTTTGTATTAATACTGTATATTAACTGTATTATAACTTCAGTGACTCTCTATGCAAAGATACAACACTAAGTAGGTCAGACAGGCAAAGCACAACTAACTTTCAATGCATACCAATATCACCAGTATCAGGTACAGTCAAAAGTCTTTCATCCGGACTCGCCGGGACTTCAGCGATTCTGGATTATCGGTTTTTCTGGATTATAAATCATCCAGTTTAAATCTGGTAAGATGGCATGCAGAAATTATAAAATTAAAAATATGAAACCGTAATTTATGAAATAAAGAGCAATTATGATCTAAAGGGTATCAAAATTTACAAAAAAAAAAAAAAAAAAAAAAAAAAAAAAGCTTAATATTTATTTGTTTACTTTATTAAACATTTCTTTCAGTGCACGCGTGCAATACATTATGCATAGTCAAAATTAGAAAATTGCAACCAGAAAACTATTTGATTGTATTCGTGATATTTATAATGACGAGGAATTTGATTTAAATCATATCAAAGACAGAGTACATCGAGATGAAACACTACATTTAGTAATGAATTATAAGCCGAATAAAATAAAAACATCTGCCCTGAAGATAAGGATAATGCTGACAAATCAACTTCCAGTTCATTGCGCGTCTTTGCGACTCCCTCCCTTTCCCCCCGCAGAGCAGTGTGAAATTGATAAAAGATTTTGGAATGGTTAGAGAAACAAAGGATATGCCTTTATCCATTTTTTGCAGCAATTCCACTTTTTGTTTGATGGACATCAAAACATGCTTTCGGTTTGTAGATAGATCCTTTTGCAGCTTCAAAATCGGAAATTCTTTTTGACAAAATCGAAAGTTCAAGCTTACTTTTATAAAATTGCTCTAACAATCTGCAAAAAATAATAAGCCAGATCCAGTTAGAAGATTAGGAAAAACACAATCTGCAACATTAACTGAAATAGATAACTAGATAATTTTAGCTTCACTTATACCGTCCGTTATACATTAAATGCGCATGCGTAAAGGTATTATGCGCATGCGTTGACGCATGCACAGAAAGTTTGTAGCTTTGAGGTCTGGATTATAGATCATTCCGGATTATGGAGGTCTGGATTATAGATCATTCCGGATTATGGAGGTCTGGATTAAAGACTTTTGACTGTATTTATATCTGCTCGCATCAGCATCTTTCTCTCTCTTATCAGGCAGCAGCAGTGGCAACAGCCAAGCTTCTGTTACAAATCTTGCTGGTTATGATGTGTCTTCTAATGTAAATCTATCTCCCTTGACATAAGATTTGCATAAACCTCTGGACTGAATGAGTAACTGATGAAACAAGACATAAAAGAAAGAATTAAAACTAATTTTTAGTGAAACTTATTGTCACTATCATTAAATCTTCTTTAAAATATGTGGGACTATTATAAATGTGAAATATAAATAATATAAGTGTATTTTTGGAGGAATTTTATAATTTAATATTAATTACATGATATATTTTACAAAGTTGATTTTGTTCTTGAATATTTTGTTGCTCATTTTATTAGATTATGTTTAATAATAATGTTACAGATTTATTTTATTCTTAGAGTGGTATTACAGAAGTGAAGTTCATATATACTTTAATTTATTCAGTTCCCTATGCTGATAGGTCCACATTTTTTTATTAATGATCTTAAAAGTATTTAATTTCAATGTATAGAAATGTTTATGAGCTGCGTTGCCCCTATATGGCATTATTACTTCAATTTTAACCAAGAATGGGCATCTTCACAGGTCTTCATTTCTTATTATAATTTAGATGTAATTTAAGTTTTCAAATTTTCCAACTGAAGGGATTTTATCTTTTTATCTCCATTGTATCTTTTTTCATAATCTTTGAAAATTTTGACTGTTATATAAAGAAATTTTTTGGAAATAAAAGTGTAATAATATATTTTTTATGTCGCTGATGTGGGAAGGGGAAGTAAGTGACTTACCAAAGTTGAAACAGTATTAATTTAACAAGTGTTATAAGACAGTTCATAGATAATTCAAATGAGATAAAGTTATGCCATCCAGTAACAGTTGAATTTTTTATTTTTTATGTCATAATATTTTGTATTAATTCTTATAGAGTTTCAGATGATTGAGAATAATAAAAGAGTTAAAAATGGTGCAATAAAATCCCTTTAAAACTAACTTAATTTCTCTGTTTTCTCTCTCTCTTTTTTTTTTTAATGTACTATGTTGCATTATATACTAAATGTTACATTTTCAACCAAGTGAAGAATTTTCTAAAGTTCCTACTTACTCGTTACTGTTTTTGTTATATGATTTATTATAAATCAAGTGTTATAAGACAGTTAATGATTTATAATAAATCATATAACAAAAACAATTATAATTATAAGTTATAATCTGTTTTGACTTTATGTTTTACTAATCATGTGTTGAGTTTGAATTATATTTGCTTATATGTACTTTTCTTGTTAATTTCATTAGGCATTCTCCAGTTTCTACAATTTAACTACCAGCAAGGTTGTTTGTATAGATTACGAGCTCTTGGCGAGAGACATAAAATGGATATTACTATAGGTACTTTACAGAAAATGAAAATATTATCTGTTATAAATGAACAAAGTGTTTCAGTAACCAAAATGTTATTCGTCAGTATTAATTCCAAATTTTATCATTTAATTTAAATAGCATGGAATATATACACATCCACTACTGTATCTTACCACTAAATATTGGGTCATCTAGAGAATTCTGTAGTTTTTTCAAATCAAGGCATATTTTCTTTTAAATATTTTGTTACTGCTGATCATGATGCTGAAGAATGAACATTATCGAAACAGATGTGTGAATACTATCTTTTCTGCTCACATTGTATAATTCTAGCATATGTTGTGGCATAGTTTTTGTTTCATTGCTCTGCTAAGAATAGAAAACCCAAATATTCATTTTCATCATATTATGTTTTTTTTTTTTTTTTTTTTTTTTTTTTTTTTTTAAAGAAACATTGTCATTCCAACTACTCGTTAAAACACAAAAAAGATGCCTCAAAGATGATGCCTTCTTTGGAAGACCATGCTTTGTAAACAAGGGTGTATTAAAAGGAACTATTTCTAAAAATCTATGTTATACAGTTCAGGAACTATCATATAGACTGACTATTCTGAAAAGTACTGTGCATGATCATTTAAAAAAGACTGGATATGTAAACTGTTACAATGCATGGGTATTTTAAATTTTAACAAAACAGAATATGCTTGAAGGAATTTCAACATAACTTCTTTTCTAAAGCAAAATAAAGAAGCTCCTTTTTAAAAACAGTTCAGTACTAGAAACGAGAAGTGTATACTATGCAAATAATGTTGCCATAAAAAAAAAAATCATTTTCAGTAACATCAAGGGGGACTGCATGCCATGAAGGTAATGCTTTTTCTGTGGTGGGAATACAAAGGAATTGTGTATTATGGATTGTGGCCGCCAAATCAAGCATTAAATTCAAAAAAATATTCCCAAATGGCAATATTCAGCAGACCTTGCCCTCTCAGATTTTTATCTTCAAAACTGTCACTTCAGAATACTCTGAATGGCTTGAAATTAACTTCTTTTCAGACAGTCAAACAGCACCTTTATAATTTTATAATTTCTTTACAAATAAACCTAATAACTTCTTCAAAAAAGGAAATTTTCCAGCTGCTGGAGAGATGATCATAGAACAAATCATAGAACAAAATTGTAGTATGTGATTCAATGAAATTTCTTTATGTTTTTATAATGTCTTATTTGTATTTGTCACCAAAAAGCCAGAGACCTATCCAGCATCAAATATATTTACACTAGAGAAAATTTAATGTCTTGAAAATTTTGTTATAAAATTATGCACATTTATTTATATAAATTGTTGCAGTTTCTAGTCGATCACATAATCTGAGAGTTTGTAAAAAAAAGAAGCGAAGACAAGTATATTAAGTTAATTTTCTAAGGATACAGAAAATGTTTGTACTCGTGGATATATGAAATGTTTTCAGTCTTGCCAACTCTTCCAGTTTTCAGCTGCATTCTATCCAATCCAGTGTACTGTATTTTTCTCTTGATATTCTCTTATCCCTAAAATTTCATATGTTTCCTATTAGTTTGATTTTTTATTTCATTATTTTCATCAAAAACATAATTTCTGGTGTCTGAAATCATGTGCTTCCCCCCCCTTTTTTTTGTGAATGCTCATTTTACATCAGTTGCATCAGTTGTCATGATCCAGTTCTCCAGTGGGCATCAAGTCATTTTGTATGCATTAGCCAATGAGGAAGATGTTTGTTTTGCAACTTTCTGTTTTAGCACCATGTCAACCTCTAGCAGTAATATGTGGAAGGTGTTTGGTGCCACTGCTAATTATATGACCTTGTCCACCTGATGGTGCCATCTATATTAGATAATCAATACCATTTTGTCAATCATTTTATGCAGCTTGGAGCTGTTAATAATGCTATTCGTTGTTAACATGACACCTATGAAAATCAATGTCCTCAGCTGCTTTGCACGAGTTGAAATACCTGCTGTCCATAACATAGTGCTCAAAGTGGTTGCACTAAAACAGCTGTCTTAGTGCAAGTAATTTAGAAATGTCAACCAGAAATTACCATCCATCTAGTTTAAAGAATTTAAAAAAACATGGAGTGTCTACTTTTTTTGGAGGCGGTCTTTATTTTGAAATTGAGAGAGATGGTAATATACATTATCATCAGAATTATAATGCAAGCTTGGATCATGATTGGAAAGAGTTTTTTAATTTAGCTGCCAGTTCTTGGACTAGTTTGGTCTGTTCAAAATTTTACCATTTCAAAACATTGTGAGAAGTGATTTCAATGTGCCAAATATGCAAAGGAGAAACAAACTTCATAATTTTATTAGCCGCAAAACTTTTCTTTCAAAGCAACGAGAATAGCCTGAACATTTTGAGGGTGCTTTGATAACTACAGTCAAAAGTCGTTAATTCGGACACCCATAATCCGGAATGATCTATAATCCGGACCTCAAAGCTACAAACTTTCTGCACATGCGTCGTGTCGACGCGTAAGACCTTTACGGTGCGCGTTTAATGTATAACGGACGGTATAAGCTAAGCTAAAATTATCTAATTCAGTTAATGTTGCAGATTGCGTTGTTCCTTAATCTTCGAATTGGATTCGGCTTATTATTTTTTGCAGACTGTTAGAGCAATTTTATAAAAGTAAGCTTGAACTTTCGATTATGTCAAATAGAATTTCTGATATATATTTACTAATATGCAAAGGATCTACAAAGCGAAAGTACTCGTATGTTTCGAAGTCTATTAAACAAAAAGTGGAATTGCTGCAAAAAAATGGATAAAGGCATATCCTTTGTTTATCTAAACTTTAACATTTGTTTATCTAAACTTTGTTTATCTTTAACGCCGCGGTGCCCAATGAATTGGAAGTTGATCTGTCAGCACTATCCTTATCTTCAGGGCAGATGTTTTTATTTTATTTGGCTTATAATTCCATGCTAAATGTAGTATTTCATCTCGATGTACTTCATCTTTGATGTGATTTAAATCAAATTCCTCGTCATTATAATTCGCTTCCGATAGCGAAGAAAGTGACAGAGGTTATTGAAAACGAAAAAATTTTGATTGATAAATTAGTCGGTATTCTCGACACAGCAATTATAGGACTTGAACAGCGGAACTTTGTAACTGAACAAGAAATTATGTCTGTTTATAGAATTAAAGAGAATGTATTATCACATAAAAAACGAAGCAAGTTACACTGAAAGAAATGTTTAATAAAGTAAACAAATAAATATTAAGTTTTTTTTTTTTTTTTTTTTTTTGTAAATTTTGATACTCTTTAGAGCAGTGCTCCGCAACCAGTGTGCCGCAGAACACTGGTGTGCCATGAGTAGGATATAGGTGTGCCGCAATCAGATACATGTATTTGACATTTTGCAATTTTTTATCATGTGTTTAATACACAATGACATTTTTTTTTCCTTAATAATGTCTATTTTAAATGTTTTTATATATTTCACTGTTGTGTGGTTGAGTGTGTGATTGTAAGTGTGTCAGCATTTGAATTTTTCGGCACTTCCTTGATAACTTGGAACTCTTTTGTGTGCCACGAAATTCCAGAAAGCTTTTTTGTGCGTCGCAGGTGAGAAAAGGTTGCGGAGCACTGCTTTAGAGCATAATTGTTCTTTATTTCATAAATTTCCATTTCATATTTTTAATTTTATAATTTCTGCATGCCATCTTACCAGATTTAAACTGATGATCTATAATCCGGAATCGCCGAAGTCCCGACGAATCCGGATTAACGACTTTTGACTGTATAAAGATTTCAAAATACCGTCACGAAAATGTTTTCCTGCTAGTTTTCACATGTGTGTTAAGAAATGAGATGGACACCGGTCTTGTTGCAGTTTACTGAATTTAATGTTTTCACTTCAGAATAAATTTTGATTAGTTTGTTTCTTAAAGCATCATATATACCAGTGGCTGCAGGAATAAGGATAATAATTAACTGAGCTTATGATTTCTGGCTGTAAAAATATGATTGAATTTGGTGCTCTCAGCAGTTATGTTCGAAATAAAAAAATTAGGCCTGAAGTTGCACAAACTACAAAACGAGATTGTTTTGCAGAAAGGAGGAGATTTTATTGCATCTGTAATATCTTAGGGATAAGATAAGACAATATTGTCTGGCATATTGAACAAAATTATTAACAAAGCATAAAATTAATGAAAAGTTAATTAAGTTACGAGGAAATTAAAGTTCTTACAAAAATTTAAAGTAATAAATGAGATGTTACCTTGAATTAGTTATTCGAATGAAAATTATAGTGACAGTGTTGCAATCCTAAAACTGACTGAGTGGTAAAATATACATGTGATGGTTATCACACAATTAAGCCCATAAAATTCATTTTCAAAAGTTGAAATAGTTTGTTTCATGGGTAAGTTGTAAGACATCCTGTGAGAAATCAGCATCAGATATGATATTATATAGTTATGGCAGTTGATGAAAATGGCTGGCAATAAATTGCTGTAAGATATATGCTTTGCTTTGTGTCACTGCTACAGTCAACAGAATACACTAGTATAGTTGACTGTAAATTGTAAAACATCATACAAATAAATATTTAATCCATACATAGCTTAACCCATTAGAATACATTGCTATAGTTGATTGTAAATCATCACATCTTACAAATGAATAATTAATCCATATGTAGCCTAACCTATTAGAAATTAATCAGTCAAGGAAATGCACATCATGATGACTAGTGACACTAAAGGAACAGAATATTTTGATGAAAAGTATTCAAACCATGCTACGTTGACTGATGAATGCAAGCAAGGGAAATTTTCTATGCATGCATGCACTACATGAAAATTATTTTAACATCTTGTGGTGCCATCTGGCAAAGTTCAAAGTTTACATGTATTTAACTGTTAATATGCGACAAGCACAAAGCAAGTATGAAACAGTCCTCAGCATTTCTGAAGTTGCTAAACAGTGCGAGTTTCATGTGCTTGTTGAAGTTGTTTAAAGATTTCTCAGGGTTTGTGTGGTCCTTAAGAGTCCTTAAGTTTTTTGGAATCGATTTTTGGTCCTTAATTTCAGCCAAAATTGGCTGAAGGTCCTTAATTTTAATAATCTGAAATTTCGGTCTTGTTTTTACAACTGCTATTTTGAATGTGAATTATCATTTTGGAGTAATATTTTTGATGATTCACTGGCAAATATGATTATCTTTTGAATGGGTTATAATTCATTCTTATTTCTAATATAAAGGGTGGGTTATTGGAGTTTCTGAGCAAGGATTCAAACATAAGCATTTTAAAATTATTTCATTTTTTTCTAAGAGCTCTTAAACAACTTTCTGCTTTTGGGAATGTGAATTCTTTTATTAAATTACTCTAAATTTAGCAACTTCATTTTGGCCATTTTAAGTTCAGTTTCTATAGAAAATTTTTTTAATTCGGAGATCTGGAAATTTTTCGAAGATTTTTTTTTAAACATAACATTGATAAATTTAACTAAAGTAATGGTAATATATTGAAATTATATTTAAAGAATAACATTAAAATAAAACATTTTTATTTTTATTTTTTTTTTTCTGTCATATTATAAAGTGACATTACTTTCCATTTTGGCAACTTATTATACAGTATTTTGAATCTGAAAACTAAGCTGTCTCAGTAACTCTACCATCGTAACAAATTCAAATGTTAGCAGCAATAAAGCAAAGATTAATAATTACGAATTATCAGAGCTGGCAGGAACAAAGGCAACATGTGAGTGGAAGGCAAAAACACTGTCTTACTATCCCAAAACCTCAATTTAAAAATTATCTGATTTGCATTATAGTGAGGAAAGTAAAGGCTAAAGTTATAAACAGCTGGTTAATTTGCATAATAATAAGTGTACATATCTTTGAAGAATATTTTTCTTCCTCTTTATGTATTCAGTTACTTTCTTTAGTACGTTTCCTCTTCACTTTAGAATTTTTGGAATTAATTAACCCTTCGAGCATTACAGGTTTAGCTCTGAAATTTTGAAGTACTGCAAAATGTCATGAATAAGTGTTATTTTATTGATTTTAATTAAAAAATTACTCTCTCACTTTGTACCTTGATTTTTTTTCTTCCAATAAACATCCAAATTGAAATCGGATGTATTAAAAGCTAGCAGAAATTTTCATGTGTAATGAAAAAAGAAGTCAGCCTTCTGTACGAAATTTTATGGCCATAACGTTGAGAAGGTTAAAGATTTCTGTTATTCTAAAATAATTTTTTCAGCTCTCATTTGCTGATAGGTCCTTAATTATTTTTCATTAATGGTCCTTAAAAAAGTATTTAATTTCCATGTGCAGAAATGTGTACAAACCCTGTTTCTGATTGTCTTAACTATTTCTCTGAAAAGGTATCTCTCTATATACTCATTTACTTTTTAAAAAAACATATACACTGCAAAAAAAAGGGGGGACAGTTCCATATCTCCCATGCTACTGGGCCATTTGACAAAATTCAACTTGTGTGTTTTTTATGTCTCAAAATTGCGACTTAGGATATGTATTAGATTTATATATACCATTGTTCTAATGACGTATCTTGGAAAATTGGACATTTTCTTAAATATCATGCCAATTTTTTCCCATATTTTGATTCTATGACTCAAATTTTGCCAGATTGCCAAATTTTGTAAAAATCAGGTGAGTAGTTTTTTAAAAATTTAGCTCTAAATATTTTAGCTCCTTCATGTTAATTGAATTTGGTATATACAGGGTGGTTCAAAACTGAATGTCAAAAATGTAAAGGCAGGTAAAGGGGACCTGAAAAAGCAAATTTCATATAGGAATGTGTGTGTGGTAATGCCACATTAAAGCACTAGCATGTAAAGCAGTATAAATCACAGGAAACTGAAAAGAAAAGTAAAGACAAAAGAAAAAAAAATATTAACAATTTAGAATAGGTCTCAAAAGAGAGCACCAACAGCAATACAAGATTCACAGATGTGGCACATGGATTAGCATACATTAAAAAGATGTCAGGCATGTTTAGCACATGTTCAGCAGCAATAGACAAGCAGGCAACACGATCTTCTGCAGTTGTGATAGGACTGTTGTACACATGGCTTTAAATATAACCCAAATGAAGAAATCCAAGCAGATTAAATCAGGAGAACTTGGTAGCCAGGAAACTGGTCTGCCGTGTCCTGTCCAATGCTGACCGCAGACAGCATAGAGGTGATTCCTGATGTTCTGGTTGAAGTGAGCTAGGGCTCCATTGAGCTGAAACCACATTCTTCTGGAGAGACATCGACGGAAAACCTTTCTTGGTAGGCATGTATTATTGTGTCATGTGGGTTATCATGAGCTCACAAGTGAGAATTATGGATGTCAGGCATACCCGATCGCATAAAGGTAGCCTCATTACTGAATAAAACATCTGCAGAGATTACCTGCAGTCTGCTGTAAGTTCTTCCTTCCTCAATGGCCTGACAGCCCAGGGTGTGTCCTGGCCTTCTCAAGAAACTTTTTCCGAGCCAGTCTTCTCGCTGTTAGCATTTTCCAGTTTTTGGTTTTTAAGACCAGTAAGTCATTTTTTAGACAGTCTACCATCTTAGATTTGGTCTGCCTTTTTTCTGTGTGCCTATTAGTCTGGCATTGAACACTTTTTTTGTTGCACAGTCTTCATCCATTCTGATAACATGGCCTGCCCATTTTATTCTTTAGCATTTAATGAAATTAATGATGTCAGGTTCATTATATGAGCGTTATAGCTCCAAATTTTGTCTTCTAAGCCACATACCATCTTTTGTATTCCTCTAAAAGTACTTCTTAAAACCTTCCTTTTAAAAATGCCCAACATGTCCTCATGTGTGCGTAATGGTCCACCTTTCATATGCATATGTCGAAATTTGTCTTATAAACCGTAAAACTTTTGTTTTTCTTTGAATTACACTTGATTTTATATATTTTCATATTCCATTGAAACATCTATTGGTTGTAGTAATTTTATTTTGTATTTCTGTAGTAATATTATTCTTGTTGTTAATTTCAGAGTCTAAATATGTGAAGCTGTTAACAGTTTCAAATTTATATACTCCAATTTCTAAGTGTCCTTGAAATCTGTTTTAGTGCATGGCATATATTTTGTTTTAATTTCATTAATTCTCAGGCCCATTCTGAGAGCCTCCTTCTGTAGAGATATAAAAGCCTGTTTTAGTGCAGCTGGTGTCCTAGCAATAATGTCAATGTCATCAGCAAAAGCCAATAACTGTAACAGTTTATTAAAGATGTTTCCTGTGGTATTGATGTTTGAATCTCTTCTTACTTTTTCTAATGCCAAATTGAAGAGAAGGCATGCCAACGCATCACCCTGTCGAATGCCATTTTTGATTTTAGTTGGCTTTGATAGTTCATTCTGTATTTTTACCATGATTTTAATTTCCTCAAGTGTCAGGACGATTAGCTTCAATAATTTTTCAGGTATTTTAAACTCTCTTAAGGCTGCAATGAGGGCTTTTCTGTTAATACTGTCATAGACAGTTTTGAAATCAATGAAGAGGTGCTGGAAATCGATTCTAAATTCTTTTGTCTTCTCAATCTATTGAATGTTGAACATTTACTCTGTAGTAGATCTTCCCTTTCTAAAGCTGCTCTGATAATCTCCAATTTTTCTTTCTATATGTACAGATAGTCTATTGAATAGAATGTTTGAGAATACTTTATAATTTGTACAAAACAGGCTGATTCCTCTATAATTAGAACATTCAAGTACATCTCCTTTCTTGTGTATTACACAAGTTACACTCAATTTCCATTCCTTCCAAAGAAGATTTAGTTTCCTGATCCCATATTGCCTTCATTTAACAATAACAACGGTAAAGAAAAAACTGGTGACCATGGTAACGCTTTGCGACTGCACAGATAGTCTTGCAGACGATTCTCACAGACGATGTGCTAGCGTCGCAGAACAAATGCAAAAGTTTTAAGCATATGATGCCTTTAAGTGATATATGAGTTCCTATCACTTGCAGGAAATATATTAATTTTTAAACAACACTACACATCTCAGTTCTAACATATTCATTAGGCTACACATTGTCTTGCATTACCCTGTGACAAAAGTTCAGTTTTGTAGTCACTTGCAGATAATTAACATAAATAATTATACCATTGGACAATGGTTGAAAATTTAATCAGTGAGCATATTTTCTCAGATTATCCTTTGATTTTGAGGAGCAGTATACATATTATAGCCGAACAATAATTTATAAAAATAATTAATAGATAACTTTTTAAGTTCAGTACAGTGATAGTAAAAAAAAAAAAAAAAAAAAACATGGGGAGAGAGTATCTTTAAAATAAACAGATTAGTCAAATTTTAGCATTAAATTTGCCTTTAGCTTCATAACCTACCACTAAGTAAAGAATTTCTGACCGTACATGCAGTAAATGACATATGTTATGTATTTATTTCATTGAAATCACAAATTGGGTGATTTATAATTTAAAATATTTGTAATAAAAAGCTGTACTGAAAATAAAAAAATTTTGTTTGATAAATTTTACAGCATATTGCTTGTTTTATGCAAATATTTGGATTATTTCTTAGTCTAATAAAAATTTATTTGTCTTTCATGTGAATAATTTATTTTTTAAATCCTTCTCCTCATTTCAGAAGGTTTTCATTCCTGGATGTGGAAAGGACTAAGTTTTTTATTGCCATTCCTTTATATAGGTTATGTAAGTAAATTCTTAAAACAGAATAAAATACAATCTAAATTTAGAATTATTACTGCATAGATTTGTAATGTTCAACGGAAATCATCCTTTACTCTGTATTTTTAAGACGTGCATGTAAATACATACACTTCTGTTTAATGTTTATGAAGTCTGCCATGAAATATAGATGCAGAATCATATTTAATCTGGAATGTTTATGCATTTTTATTTAACAGTAGACTTGATTTTCAATGATGTTGTAATGTAATGTTAGGAGGTAGGTGTGTTCATTTAGCCATTTGTGGCTATAGAGGTACTGAATAAAATATATAATATAAAGTAATAGAAAGCTGTAGGAATATTTTGCACAACCTTTAACTGCAGAAAATGATCATGTGATAAAAAATATTCAGCCAGTCAGAACTGGTTAAATTTCTATTTTTATTACCAGTTTTAGGCAGATTAGCTAGTTTATCCATGTAGGCCAAAGAAGATTATGGAGAACTGTTCACGTAAATATAAGAAAAAAAAATATGGTGCAAGATTACTTATTTTTATATTCTAATTTTTAAAAATATGGTTTGCATGTGCTAAGAAAAGCCCTGAAAAAGAAGGTATTTGCAGCGTGACCTTTTTTTTATATAATCCTTTTAAGAATACACTAGTCTTTTTGCAGTCTTGAATGTCTCTATTGTGAAATACAAATTAGCTTCAAAATTCTTTTTTCCTTATTTGCAGTTCTCAAATATATATACATTTTAAAATATATATATATATATATATATTTTATTTTACAAATGCTAAACATTAGAGCTTAAGCCATTAGTTAACGGGCTCTCCAGTAGTTTTTAACAATGTCCTTATACCAAGAAAGTGCAGTACATTTATTTAAATGTTCAAACATCATACGTTGATTTGAATTGCACAAAATACAGTTTGGGGAATCCACCACTCAAATTTTCCAGAGGTGGTCTCACAAACAGTCATGTCCGGTTAGACCTCTAAACAGAGCTACCGCTGTCTTTCTTGGAAAACTGTGAATAAAAGTTGTCTCTTCTCCCAAAATTCTCCAACTCTTATCTATAGCACATTGAATCATATCCTGCTTAAGAATTTTCTTAAGAGTCAAGTTAACAAACAATTTAGTCATATGAAATGAAAGTGGTCAATTTATGCATTGCATCATGAAAGTTCCTTTCTTAGCCAAAGTATCAACTTTTTCATTTCCCATAATTCCACAGTGGCTGGAATACATTGGAAAGAAATTCTGTGTGTCATTGCCTTAAGCAAAGGCGTACAGTCTGAGAATCTTCGGCAACTATTTTGAGTATTCAGAAGAGCTTGAAATGCACTTTTGGAATATACTATGACTGCCTTTACAAAAGAGTGGCTACGAATCGACATTTGTTGAATAGCCACAGCAAGCTTCTATTTCATCGTCAAAGGTCCCATTCGTATAAGTAGAAACTGAAAAGCTTGCTATGGATACCTGCTTCAGCACTGTGTGTTCTCTCTAACATAGAGCCGTCAGTGTAGACATGCAACCACTCATTTTGAGGAAAGCAAACCCCAATAGTTTCCATTGCAACATATCTTAACCATGAATTGCTCATTTCATTTTTTTACAACTCTCTGAATAAGATCAAGATTTATATTCAAATTCAAAAAGGCCAAGGGCTAATGGGGAGGAGATAAAATTAGATAATCTCGGCTCAGCTCTAAAGCATCAGATTCTCTCTGAGCAGCTCAATTTGAGCTAAGATTCCTAGAAATTTCCTTATTATAGTTCCTCCAAAAAGGGTTGTCAGGCAACCCTTTTTGGTTTTCCAAATATATATTTTTAAAATATATATTTGTAGAATTTTTATGTTAATGAACTTCATCTGTTCTTCTTTATGAATAAAATAGCTTCAAGACAGTGCAGTGCTACATATTTCTACAACATGAACAAAACAGTTTGCTAAGCAGAACTGTAATAAGACATAAAGCCCAGTGGTTTTGCAAAAACTGACTGCTGGTCTGAAATCCATGGTGAGGGTTGCATTTTCATGTAAGGCTTGGTTGTTTGTGTTCTCCCCTTCTCCTTGTAGGTACACCATAAGAAATGTTAGATGATGAAGTAGTCAAAAGACCAATGAATTTGACCATTCTTACTGATTGCCCTGCAGTTGGCTTTAAAGGCTAAAAAGGTCTTTGAAATTTCTGTAATGACTCAACTTTTATCAAAACTGCAAGTAGTTATAGACAGTTCTAAAAATTTTTATGAAAACTGTAAAACAGTTTTAGATAAAAGCTGTAGAAGTTTTGATACCAGTTATTAACCTTTAAAGTGTTGGACATATGATAGAAATAATTTCTGAAAATATACAAGACAACAGTAAACAGCCAAGGCCGTCGCTAAGTGTGCATTTGCATCCATAGTCTACACCAATGGCTTGCACATATGCACCCGTAGGCCACACCGATGGTTTTTGCTGGCTGTATACATGCACCCATAGCAGTCAAAGGGTTTAAGAAAATTGGGTATGTAAGCTGCTATGTAGTATAGATACCTCATACTTTAAGAGCAGATTATGCTTGCTTAAATTTTGGATTGCATTTTTTTGACGAAAAGAAATGAAGGAACTTGTTTTTAGGATAGATCATTACTGGAGATGAGAAGTAGATGATACTATAATAATACAAGAAAAAACTCGTATGGTAAGCCATACGAACCTCCTTTAGTAACATCAAGAAGGGACTGCATGCCAACAAATTAATGCCTGTTGTGTGGTGGGAATACAAAGGAATTGCATGTTATGAATTATTCCCACCAAATCAGACAATAAATTTGGAAAAAACTGTTTCCAATAGTTTTAAAAGCAGAAGTAGAAGAAAAACCCCCAGAATTTGATTTATTGTCTCCTATGATGACCAGACTCAGCTGCACATTCTGATGAACATCAGATTAAAAACTTTTAGAGTATGGCTTAGACATTTTATACTGTCTCACATATTGATTAGACTAACGTGTTTTCCATGTACACCCCTTTCACACTGCTAAATCATTCCTCCCCCCAATCTTCCAAAACTTAAAAAATCTTTATACATTTATTTAGATTATTTTTTAACATATTTTATAAATTGAACAAAAAGTATAGAGAATATGGACAAAAAAACCAAAATTGGAAAATTGGAATAAAAGTTTTTTTTTTTTAATTCATAAACTAAAACTAAATAACTAAATAAAAGGTTAACTGCATGCCCCTGGTTTGAGAACCCTTGCCCTCTCGGTCTGTCATCTCTGCAGGCCACTTTAAAATTCTCTTAACAGCTTGGAGTTCATTTCTTTTGAGACTGTTGAACAACACCTTAATAATTTCTTTATGAATAAACCTAATGATATTGGGTCATAGAAAAAATCTCTGTGCTTTTTTGGTACATTTTTGAACAAAAATTTTCTTTTACATATTGACCATTAATATCTATGACCTTTTGCCATTTTTCGGCTAGCTTCATAATTCCACCGGTATAGAACTTCAGTGGTTTATCGTCGAAAAACTTGGCCGAGTGATTTTCAGCAGCACTTCAGTTGGCCAATTTTTTACCATCAAAAGAGTTTTGCAGAGACCGAAAGAAATGGTAGTCAGACAAAGCAAGATCTGGGCTATACGGTGGATGCATCAAAACGTCCCAACCAAGCTCTGTCTATTAGTTCCACAGTTCCCACCAAACATCAACAGAATGACAATCCAGGTTTGTTGGCCTTTGACCATGATCGCTTGCATTTAATTTTCTCATATTTCAATCATTTTTTATCACCTGTAATGGTTCTCTTCAAAAATGGTTCAATTTTGTTGTGTTTCAGCAGCATTTTTCTGATGGTAATTCGTTCAATCAAATATCATGTGGCACCCAAACATCAAGCTTTTTTTTGTAGCCTGCTCTTTTCAAATGATTCCAAATTGTCATGTGGTTGATGTTTAGTAACTCTGCTATTTCCTGACAGCTTGTGTGCTGGTTTTGCTCCACCAGTTGCAAAATTTCGTCGACTTTTTCATTGACTGGCCGACCAGAGCAAGGTGCATCTTTGACATTGAAATTTCCGGAACGGAAATGAGCAAACTTTTCACAAATTTTTCGGCATGTTTTTGCAGTGTTTTTACCTTTTTTATAGTAAAAGCATTACATAGAGTATTTCTTCAGATATTTCACTCATTTTCAAATCAGTTTAACTTTTTCCACAAGCAACGAATTAAAAAACCGTCTTCACAAACAGTGGAAGCTGAATATCACCTTTTAAGCACATGTTCATTTGAGACAACCGGGTGTCTGTTGCCAGATATATAGGCATCAACACCATCTAGTGGCAAAAAAGCATGGAGACTTTTTATATGACCCAATAAGAAATTCACCAGCTACCAGAGAGATGGCAAAAAATCATTGAACAAAATGATTTTTGAATTTTGTGATTTAATGAAATTTTCTTGTTCTTCTGCACTGCTTCATTTGTATTTATCATAAAAAGACTTCAGAACTTTCTGAATGACACAATAGAAAAATCTTGAAGATCTTCCTCCTTCAGATTTCTTTTTGTTTTGGTTTTTAGTACAGATTGAATAGCTGAAAATTTGATTCCTCAGAAGCCATCAAAAACTACTCTACAACTTTCTTTGCAGAAAAAATATGGTTTCCATCAAGAAGGAATTTGCAAGCTTGTAAAATATGTGCTTGCAGGGAAATTGTAGAAAGTGAGAGTTACTATATCATGTGTAAAGAAATATATTTGATTTCAAATGATTCATATATAAAGAATTCTACTTAATTTCTATGCAATTCAAAAGAATTTTATCAGTTGTGCAGTAACCTGTTTGCCTTACTTGTAACCCTGTCATTAGGATTAATGGGGAAAAAATGTATGATGTTCATTGCATGTTGTTATTACAAACATACATTAAAAGTTTTTCTAGATTTCAAAGATTTTGTTTGTAATTTTACTAATTGTATATTTTTTTTTTTTTTTTTTGTTTTGTCAGATTTTCCAGTTATATAATGCATATACACTATATAATTTGAGTAAGGATGAAAAATGTGTTGAATGGCAGGTAAGTTTAATGATTTATTTATTTTAACAATTGAGAAATATTTGTATTAACACTAAATGATTGTTACTCTCCATTTTGAGAAATTTTAGGGAAAAAATACTTTCTGATAAACAGAATCTTTCTGTTGTATAAGTAAAAAAAATTCTATGGCTTAAAAACTGCACTACTAAGCAGTTTCTATTTTAAAAAAAAAAGTATATTGAATTGGAACCCTTAGTGCAGTGTTACCCAGTTTTTCCTCCCCTTAAGTGCATTCCTCTTAACAAATTCTTATATGATATGTGCTTGATATGCCTGACGTCTTTTACTGCAGTCTACATTAATCCATCAGTTATTTAATTTGTTGAAGAAAATCTAAATTGAAAATATGCATTTATAAAATACATACTTCATGTTTAAGTTATGAAAAATTAATAAATATTTTGTTTCTAATCTAAGCTATTTTTGGTACAGTATTGTAAAATATAAATTACTGATATATTCATTGTAAATACCTTCATGTTTAAATTATAAAAAATTACAGTTAGTATATGGGCATTTTAGTGTTACCCAAATGAATGGAATGGGTCACATAATTGTAAAGCTTATTATAATTCAAAAAAACTGTTCTGCACTGCATCTATCTTAACCCATTAGCCGCTGGTGTTGTGTTGACGCAATGGTCAAAATAAATGCGTATATAAATTTAACTACCCAAGATATTTTATACCAGCAGATGATTTTGCATAGGGAATATTATGAAGATTATTTCTGTAAAAAAATATTTGCCTTCAACAATCATTTTGTTTATAATAATTAATCTCATACTTTAAGCAAAATTTTCGACCGGGTATTTTTGCCAAAAATATTTCACGAAAGAATCGCCGTCTTTATGAGTGATCTATTTTTAGTCAAAGTTACCGTTTGTCAGAACAGTATGTCAATCAGATGTTTATATTTGTGTTGGGAAGGAAGGGAAAACAGGTGTTGCACTGACGCAACGTCAGCAGGAAACGCATTCCTTTCGATGTTCTGGTTCATGTTCTGGCTGCTTGAAAAAATGCCTAGAACGAGGTATCTTACATTAGAAGAAGCCCTTCAAAGATTGTTTGATGAAGAAACAGATAATGATAATGTTAATAATAACCAGAATGAAACTAATATTGTTGTTGTTCCCCCAGAAATTACAGAAGCTAGTGATTAAGAAGAAAGAGAAGACAATGTTTTAAATAATGATAACGATATTTTACCAAATGATACTGCTGGAGAAGTTGAAATTCATGTAAGAAGTAAGTTTCAGCCTTCTAAGAGCAGTGGTAATCATACGAAAAAGTTTAAAAGCAGAAAACTGAAACTTGAAATGGATAAAAAAGGAACCATTAGTTATGTCTCAGGAAAAAAATGAAGAAAGAGATAGAAGAAAAACTATAAAAGACAAAATACAAGGTAAAACTAGTGGAGAGATTTTCGATTTTCTTTTTGGTTCAGATATTTACTCTCTTCTCATTGAACAGACAAATATATACACTCAGCAAAAAAATCGCCCAGAATTTATTGCATCTGAAGCCTATATGAGAAGATTTATTGGAATATACAAGATATCATTCTTTACCACAAGAAGAAATGTATTGGTCTCTTGATAAGGACATTTCTGTTCCTATTGTACGAAAATCGATGTAACGTTTGCAGTACAGGAATATGAATGACAATAGTCAAATTGAAAATACTGATAAATTATATAAGGTGAGACCGTATCAAACTTACTAAATAAGAAATTCCAACAATTTGGTATATTTTCCTTCGATCTGAGTATTGACAATCAAATGATTCCTTATCAAGGCAAACATTCAGCAAAGATGTTTTTAAAAGGGAAACCTATAAGATTTGGATACAAAGCATGGACTTTGGAGTCATCTGATGGATATGTGTTTCATTTCGACATCTATTCAAGTAAGTCGACAGCTCCAAAATTACCAGAATATAAGGAATTTGGGCTTGGAGGAAATGTGGTGATAAATTTGCTCAGTGTTGTTGAAACTCCCGCCAATCATGCTATTTATTTTGATAACTTTTTAACATCATTTCAGCTTCTCTGTCATCTAAAAAATAAAGGTTTCAGTGCTACAGGAACAATTCAGGAAAACTGCATACAAATGTGCCCACTAGAAACTATGAAATATGTCTGTAAGAAAGATAGGAGTTATTATGATTTCCAGTATGAAGAGAAAAACAAAATAATTTTTGTCCGATGGAACAACAATTCGGTTGTAACTGTTGGTTCAACATTTGGAAACATTCAACCCATAAAAAATGTTTCCCATTATTCAAAAACGCAAAGGATAAAGGTTTTTATATCTCAGCCTCATCTTATTGAACAATACAATGCCAAAATGGGTGGAGTCAATTTATGTGACAATTTAGCAGCCAATTACAGAATAAGAGTTCGTGGCAAAAAATGGTGGTGGCCAATATTTACTAATTACATTGATGTTGCCTTGACAAATGCATGGAAAATATCACGACTTTCTACTACTGGAAATAAAACGTCTCTTTTAGATTTCGGACGCGAGGTTGCATTATTCCTTTTGCAAATTCTTACTGAGAGTGTAGATTTAGCCAGACAGCAACAGGAAGAACTAGTAAATTCAGCATTCAAAAATCATTGCATGAAGATGGTAGACATTTTGTCGTAAAGTCTGATGATAACAAAAGACTTGTTGTAAAGAGTGCCATAGCCAGACTGTTTTCTAGATGCAAAGGATGTAATGTAGCTTTACATCATGATTGTAGTGAAGCTTTTCATGCTTGAATCTTTCAATTGAAATAACCTGTATTTGTAAAAGAAATATAATGTATATTTTTAATATTAAATTAATAACAAGTAAAGTGATTTGTAGATTTATAAAACGTTATACAGCTAAAAAGTAATCCAGTGCTCCACTCAAAGGAAACATCGCATGAGTACAATCCTACTCACTAAACATCCGGGTTCTTATTCCGCTGATGTTGCGTGAACGCAACACCCGCTTTTTCCACAGGTAAAAGCAATTTTTTTTATTATCAATGTAAATTTATGTTATAAATGCTTAATTTAATATTTGTTATTATTTTCATGAGAAAAGAATCATTCCTTGTAGTTTTGGCAGTTAATGGGTTAAGGGAGGACTTTCATTTGGTGCATACCCACTTTTAGACATGTTTCAATCCTGCAAGCAGTTTCTTCATCATAAAAGGATTTACACTATTTAAACACCTAGATATGCAATAGCTTCAAACAGAGTCAAAATATATGAACCTGCCATTGTCCACATTGTGTGAAAAGCCAGGTCAAACTTTGTCAGCTTGAGATCTCTTCACTTTAATCTTCTGTTTCGTGGACTGAGATTTATGTATTTATTATTATTACAGGTGCCACACATGACACACAAAATTTAGCTTATTCTGCATCGATCATGTGCGATAATTAAATATCGCAGATTATTTACTACACTTCATGAAATGTCTAACAGTTTGGGCCCTTGTACTTGTTTCTACTGGTAAATTAATACCTTGCAACTTCCTGATTCATTCACTTATTTAGAGCTGTATAGAATACAGTCAAAAGTCGTTAATCCGGACTTGTCGGGACTTCGGCGATTCCGGATTATAGATCATCAGTTTAAATCTCGTAAGATGGCATGCAGAAATTCTAAAATTAAAAATATGAAACCGTAATTTATGAAATAAAGAACAATTATGATCTAAAGGGTATCAAAATTTGCAAAAAGAAAAAGCTTAATATTTATTTGTTTACTTTATTAAACATTTCTTTCAATGTAAAGTTGTTTAAGTTTTGCTTCGTTTCATGTGATAATACTTTCTCTTTAATTCTATTAAACAGACATAATTTCTTGTTCAGTTACAAAGTTCCGCCGTTCAAGTCCTATAATTGCTGTGTCAAGACACCGACTAATTTGTCAATCGAAATTTTTTGTTTTCAATAACCTCTGTCACTTTTCTTTTCTTCGCTATCGGAAGCGAATTATAATGACGAGGAACTTGTTTTAAATCATATCAAAGACGGAGCATATCGAGATGAAATACTACATTTGGTAAGGAATTATAAGCCAATAAAAAAAAACATCTGCGCTGAAGATAAGGATAGTGCTGACAAATCAACTTCCAATTCATTAGGCGCCCGCCGCCGAGCAGCGTGAAATTGATAAAACAGATTTCGGATTTCAAAGCATACTTTCGCTTTAGATCCTTTACATATTAACAAATATATATCGGAAATTCTATTTGATATAATCGAAAGTTTAAGCTTACTTTTATAAAATTGCTCTTACAGTCTGCAAAAAATAATAAGCCGGATGCAATTCGAAAATTGAGGAACAACGCAATCATCAACATTAACTGAAATAGATAATTAGATAATTTTAGCTTATACGTCCATTATACATAAAATGCGCACGCGAAAACGTATTCTGCACTTGCGCACACTCATATGCGCAGTCGTAAAAGGCCTTACGCGCACGCGTGAACGCCTCTGCGCATGTGTCAACGTGGCGCATGCGCAGAAAGTTTTTAGTTTTGATGTCCGGATTATAGATCATTCCGAATTATGGGTGTCCGAATTAACGACTTTTGACTGTATTTTATTTTAGCGTGAATGAATAAATCACCTTCTGTACATGGAAGAAAATGGGAGGGAGGAAGATTTTAACAAATGCTTCTGTTTATTCAATTATGAGAGCAGATTTATTTAAAAATTTAAGCATTTGCACTTTTGTTGTTCTAAATATACATTTTTATTTGCGAGTAATATATATATATATAGTTTTATGAGCCATAATAAATAGCAAATCAATTTTTTCATAATTATCAAGACATAAATCTTCATTTACTAATGGGGATTGACATTCATCATGAATCTTAATATATTTTATTTACAATTCATAACATATGAATGAGTTGCTAAATCCTGATTGACTATGTATACATCTGGAAAATAATTTTACTTAATTTGAATAAATGAATAA